TGTGTGTGTGTGTGTGTGTGTGTGTGTGTACACGTACTCTGTGTTCGTGCACATACTCTTTGTGTGTGCGTGCACGTACTCTGTGTGCATGCACGTACTCTTTGTGTGTGTGTGTGTGTGTGTGCGTGCATGTACTCTGTGTGCCAATTAGCGTCCCACTCCAGACTGATTACCTGTTCCGCTGCAGAGAGAAAAGGAACGGGCTGCCTTTATAAAAAAGGACCTGAGTGTGTGTTGGTGCGCAGGACTGTCTGCCTGTGTGTGTTTATCCTGCTAACCCTGTGATGTCAGCGCTGTCTGGCGACAGGCTGATTAATGTCTGAATGTTTTCCAGCTATTTACCCCAGAGCCTGCACACTGGGCACACACACTCGTCTGAGAGGAAGGAGAATAGAAAGAAGATGGATGAAAAGCAAGGAATAAAGATGATGAATTAAAGAAAACAAGAGAGGAGACAAGTAATAGAAGAGAAAAACATCTATTGCAAAAGAAAAGATGGAGGATGTGGGAAAGCGTCTGTATTTATTAAGAATGACAGTGCAATAATCTTGACTTCCTCTCACTTGGTGACTAATGTCCAGAGAATCATTGATATTGGGTCTACCCGGAGTCGTTAGCAAGAGAACAGCAGAGCAGCGGCTTGTTATGGGATCAACTGACTCGTGTAATAAGGGTAGCCTTGTCGTGACAGTATTTCTGAGCAATTATGAACGGACTCTCCTTAGTCTGTGTCTTTGGCACTAAAACACTCTTTAAAGCTTCTTTTTCACAAGTCGTGTTCTCTCATTCACACCCTAACGATTATTTCTCCTTTCTATCCCGCTGTCTGTCGTCTTCTCCTTTCCTTCCCTGCAGGTCAGAGATTAATTCCTGGGCCGGCTCTGGAGAGAGGTTAATGATCGAGACTGTTGAAGGATCTCAGGGTCCCCGACAGATACGATGGTCGCGCTAAAGGTCTCGTTACGGCTCCTTGTGAGGAAACTGAGCTGAGGGAGTTTTGTACGCCAAACGACATCATTATATAAGTGAGCATGCTGTCAAGGTGGCAGTGGGAGCAGCAGAGAGGTGATGTAGAGAGGAAGGGGACATTTGTTCTGAGATTAGCCAGGAGCCAACTCTCAACTCCTCCGCTGTTGTCTGGAGTTCATTAGCAGAGCTATTATCGAGCCTTGTTCTCTAATCTAACTGCACTCACTGAAAATCTAATACATCACATTTGTTAGAAAATGGTGGCACCCACCCTACATCAAATATCATATATAAAAGCCTCTGGGGAGCCAGTGCTGTTTTGTTTACTGACTAATATGAGCTTTTATCTCCTAGGAACATTTGATCTCTCCTCATCAACATGTATGGTTGAGTGGATCTAAAATGGGGGTGGAATAAACAGATATCATTAATGAACGTAATCTCCATTCCTCTTTCTTTTCTCTCCATCTCCCTTCCTTTTTTTTTTTCTCGGCTGCCATAATAGCAACTGTCCCGATTGTGTCTCATCGGACTTAGACATCACAGCCACACCAAATCTCCTGGAAGCACGAGGCGAGGGGGGAAGAATTCGGCTAAGCTGAGAGACGGCACAGATATCGGGCCCCTGCTGAATCACCCTCCTCCCTGTCTCCGTTTTTCTCTGTCTCGCGCGCTAACTTTTCTTTCTGTACCGCGGAAGATTTACTGTAATCTGGCAGATCAAAGGCAAGCATCGCAATCCTATTCCCCTAATCCAGTTTGATGGTGACTTTTGCACATGTAATAACACTGGCAGAAAGAGAGATCGCTTTGCCAAGCCTTTTATTTTTCTCCCTCTCTGTTGTCACAGTAATATTCATATTTATGAAAACATACTCAAAGCCAGAGCTATTTTAGTCTCTGATTACATATTACAGTAATAATCATGTCAAAATCGCAGTTTTTTCAGACCATGGAGGAGCGCTGGTGATATATGCACGGAATTTTCTTTCGATTTAAAGTCTTAAACTAGATCTTGACGACCATCAAATAATTTTTCAAATAATTTCTGACTACTAATGTTTTTTTCCCCTTAAGATGTTTAACTATTAATATCAAAATGTCTCTCTATTGCCAGTCTTTGAATGGATTTGCCACGCTTTAGCATCAAAACATCTGGTTATTCTTAGCCTGAGCAAGACATTTTCAAACTGTGACCCCTGAGGGTTTAATCAAGTCCCTTTCATATCGTATCTGACAGCCCACTCATATTTTAACAACACTGTGAGATGTAACTCATTTGATTTGGCTAAATGGGAAGCAATTAGCACTGACATCCCCTCGAGGCATTTTCCCGATGAAATCCATTTGAAGGGGCAGATGGAAGGAGGAATCGACTTACCTCATTAATCCTTACCTATAGTTTCTGCCACACAAAGGTGAAAGGCAGAGCAGAAACATATTACCTCTCTATCCCACTCAGTTCTTCTGATGGTCTCAAACATGTCATTTAGCTTCTTGGCTGGCTCATTATTCCTTATTTCCCTCATAGTTTACCACCTCTTCCCTTCAGCGTGTTTATTTTTGTATCTAGGCACCCTTTTAAATCTACTTTCTTTGCCCATATGTGGTTTTCACTGTCTGCCTCAATATACTCCGATTTATTATCTCCATCCAACGTTCTCCTACCTTGAGCTTTCCCCAGATCATTTACATATGTATTTCCCAACTTTTCAGGCTGTGGCAGCTGTCGCACCGTTTCCATCCTTCTTATCTTATGTGCTTCAAACTGTGATTATTACATTCCCCACTAGGGCATATCTAACACCATGTTGATTTTTTTAGTAACAGAACGGGTTAAAACGCATACAGTACATATCTGTTCGTCTCGCGTTTGCATGCCGTTGCAGAAAACTGGGTAAGGGTATAATTTTTTCATTGTGCCTTCTCATCTTGGTGGATAATTTTGAGTACTCATTGTCTCTTTGAATGGAAAAAAAACACACATTCCTGATTTTCACACAGAAACGAAAAGCAGCACATTATGCACTGGATTCATGTGGGAAACTCCGGTCGCTCTGCTTCAGATTCTCAATGTTTCTTCTCTTTTCTCTCACTCAGACAGGACTTTGATGGATCCATTAGTGAAATGCATACTGCAGGAATTATACACTTTCTGTAATAGACTCAGCCTTTAATCCTTTGTCATGAGAAGTGGTTGCTGAGTGAGGCTTGGGAGAGCTGGTGCATTGAAGTGGAGAAACCTGTGGGGTAGATAGCCCCTAGTGGAGGCTAATAGTATGACACTTTTATAAAGTTCACTTTCTTTTACTGTAATAGTTGCATCTAAAAAAAGTGCTTTGTAGGCTTTATAAAATGAACATATTTCCTGTACAGAATTTGAATAAAAGATAAAGATAAGAATGACATAATGTAAGTTATTTAACCATTTTACTGACTTAATCTCCCAGAATCACAGTTTATCAGTCATTAAAATCCAGACCTGTTTAATTCATATCACAATAAAGGAAAATGGGAATGCTTTAAATAACAAGTTATAAATATGAGTCACTTTGTTGTACAGTTTTTAAAAGTTCAAAAAAATCTCCTCATGCACAGTTTGTGTTAATTTATTTAACTGCCAAGTGTGTAATTTAAAAATAATTACTTTCAATATCAATGCAAGTTAAACATGGTATCTGTGCTCAGGCAAACTAGCTCGAGACAGATTTACATATGATATTTTACCACTAAATTGTTTTCACAAAGTCTTCTCAGTCATGCAGGTTTGTTTTAAGTCTCTCTGAGTCTCTGTGCTCAGTATATTTACTGAGAAAGCTTTTTTTGTTCTCATTTCGGTTTTGTTGTGATGTCATCTCACAGTTTACGTAGCATTTCACCCTCAGTTTGTTTTCTTTGGTGTGATGTTGAGATTGTGTTCTCTTTCAACGGCTGCCAAGTGGAGAAAGAAATGAAAGCACATTTGACGGCTCATGAGCATTTGACGGTTCATGAGCATTTGACGGTTCATGAGCATTTGCCAGCGCTTATCAAAGCGGGGAGATGGAGAGATAGATGGGCAGATAAATGTATAAGATGGATGGTTTGACAGGGTGGAGGTGCGCGTGGGCGAGAGATGATCGGGGGCTATGTTGGGGCAAAATTAGGTTGTGCTCCTCTGTATGTGGCAGCAGGGGCTACGGCACCGACGTGTGGGTGCTCATGCATGTGGGTGTGTCTGTGTGTCCTGTCAGTGAGAAGAAATGATTAATGGGCTTCTCCCACACGAAGCACCACAGACTAAACCTCACAACCTGAACTGGAGCGTGACACCTCTTCTTCCTTCTTTCCCGTTTCCTCTCCTTTTCAAATCCCTCCTCCAGGCCGTGGGCTTGTTTTCACACCTGCTTGCAGCTCTCAAAGCTACGGAAGTATTTTTTCCCCCTGCAAGCTGTGCATCTGCAGCGTGGCAAAACTGGGCGGCACCACGGAGAATCGGCCGTTAATAGAAGCGGAAGAAAAGGAAGCTTGGATGTGCAGCGAAGCAAAGTGTTTAAATGTTTATGTTTTACACTACAAATAAATGTGAGCTAATTGATGATTGATGAGCTTGTGTATTCCCAAAACACTGACTGTCACCGTGTCACCATTCCATGTTTTGGGTGGAGTTTGGAGGAGGGTACGGGTTTAAATGTGGCCTTCCTCTTCTGACTCGTTGAGCTCCAGGTGTTCCACAGTTAGAAAGCCTTTGGGGTCAGTGTTTTGGATGACTGCAGATGTACTGCTGCTGCTGAAGGGCCATTTGGTTTCACTTTAGCTGGTGTGTGTGTGTGTGTGTGTGTGTGTGTGTGTGTGTGTGTGTGTGTGTGTGAGAGAGTTGGGGAGGTAGGGCTATAACAAAAAGCAGTCTCTCCCTTTAGTTACACTCAAATTATAAATTATAATTATGTTTTGAACTGTTTTTTTCTAAAATAGAAGTTTCAATTGTAGGTTCAAATAGAAGCAGATTAAACATATTTAATCCAACGAATGTGTTTCTAATTATTTTCATGTTTACTGACTGCTGTTTGAAACCCAAAACCCCATCCTGCATGAACTGCTCCGGCTTAGTTGACCAGGAGCTCTTGGAACTGCTCAGAGCGGAGGAAACGCCCGAAGGAGTCTTTCTCCATCAGGGCGAAGATCCTCTTCTGGGCCAGGTCAAAGGTCGCAGGGGACAGATCCACCAGGTTCCTCAGGGTCACATCCTTGGTGAAGTGGTCAATATTCACCTGTAGTGTGAGGACGACAGAAGATGCTGTCAGAAACAATCACAATGCAGACGATGAAGATAAAGAGAAATGGCAAGTATTAAATGTTAACATGAATACTTAAATGTTAACAAGAAAAAACTGGGTTTTACTTGCTTGTACCAACAAATATATCCTATCTACGCAAGCAAGCAATTTACAAACATTCAAAAACAAAATTTGTCTAGTCCAAAACCAACAATGTTTTTTTGAGTTTCTGAAAATCACTACCCTTTTACAAAAGCTTGAACACATGTCGCCGGTAGACACAAGGCCAATCGCATAGAAGATGTTGTGTTTTACGCGGAATATGCCTTAAAGAGAAAGAGAGAGTAGCCATTTTAGGCAAGATACTATTTATTTATTCTTTGTCTATTTCAAATTGCCAGTTGTAATGTTTATTCCAAATAGAATCAGATCAGAACAGGGCACAATATTTTCCTCTAAAAAGCAGAAGTCACGTCCCCTAACCCAATATGGAAATACTTAAGTCTGTGTGTGTGTTTATTACCATTCTGTATGTGTGTGTGTTCCCGTGTCTGAGCGGTTCAGTGGCGTGTCTCAGTACATTCTCTCTCTGTGACCTCATCTGTTTACACTTAAACAGGCCTGTATTTCTCATCTACACTACTGATTAGATAAACACTCCAACGTTTTAAAATGTCTGCAAATTGTATTAAAACTATCTCTCTAACAATTTCGTCTATATTTCACCTTGAATAACCTGGCTATTCAGGAGTGAAGTGTTTTTATGTAAATACCATATTACTCATTACCCTGTTGACGAAATCCCTGCTTTATTGTCAACTTACTGACAGCACCTTTCAGGGATTGTACTTTAAGAATGAATAACTTCTTATTGGATCATCTTTTCGGATGAGATTGCTGCCTAGTGAGAACTCATTATTGAAAGATTGGTGCTGGTTGCGTAAAGCATGATAAATGTATTTAATTTAATCAACCACATGGTGTTGAGTGCATAACAAGGGGTAATCAGAGGAGTTCCTGACCTCTCTTGGCCCCTCAGACTGGATGAAGTCTTCGTAGATCTTCTTGGCCTTGGTTGCCATCTTCACGGGGTTCTTGATCTTCTTGAAGTCCTCGCAGGTCACCCAGAACTCAACGTTCTCGTCACTGAACTCGGACTGGAGGAAGCTGCGGAAAGCAGAAACACCATCTGATGGATAACAAGACGAGAGAGATATGTATTAACAAGCGGCATAATACAATATGGAATCAGTGATAATTTAAACCCCTTTTCATGCACATATTTGAGAGAAAATTATCCATTATAAAATCAATGACAGACTATTTTTGTGCTATTTTAAACATGGCTCAGCTGAATTATATCACATTCATGCAAAGGTTACTTGTTCTATACTAGTACTGAAATATAAAAGTAAATCCCAAAATATATTGGATGAATATTTCTACAATTTGCAATATGTCCAATTAATCCAAAAGATAATGAGTTTCTGTTCATGTTTTTTTTTGTTCAAGCAAGGAAAATGACTCAAAAAACATGTTAGTAGAACTAGTAGATTCATTTTTGCTACATAAAAAGGTATGAAAATGAAACATCCAATGACTTACTCAAAGACATTATAGAAATGATTTAATTTGATGTAAATAGCTAAACTAAACTTGTATTTACCAAATCAGAAAAATATTTATTCCTTTAAAAACCAATATAATATCAACAATAGAAACTCTTTGGACAAATGCAAAAGCACAGTGGTTATTCCAAGATAACGATCCAAAAATGAAACTTAATAAAACATCCATTTCTTTCAGTGAAGACCATTGTGGTTCAACATAATGCCTGCTAAAAGTTCCCATTGTCTGAACCAGCATGTGCTGCAGACGATAAGCTTTCTATTATGGCCTCAGGCTTTTATCTGCAATCTAAATGACTAGTTTGGTTCAAAATAGCACGGAGTCGCAATCAAGCTGCGGCCCTTTTTTTTTTTTATGACCCCTAGTACAAGGACACACAAAGAGAGAAGAATACACGTACAGGCACTGATGACAATTTACGGATGTTGGTGTATCAGAGCAAAAAAACAACCGGCAGAAAATGCAGCGTCATATTTAGGGTAAGGGTTTGTTTGTTGTATATTTATGATTTTGTCAACATTTGACTTCCATATCCGCCAAATTAAAAATTACATTTCAACTTTTATTAACTCCAATGACCCGTCGTGCTGCATAATCTTTCAAATAACAAAACTATGACGAATTAATGTAAACAAAAAGAGCACCGACATCAACAAGGAAATTAGATCAAGTTTTCTTCAATTGCAATTTTTAAAACAGAGTAGTCCTAGATCACTCATTTCCTGTTTTATAATATACATTACATAAGGAAGGAAGGAAGGGGGGTGAGTCCCACATCTGAGAGGAAATAACTCAGAGAGAATCCCATGGGAATTAACAAGAGTGGAGCCATAAAGAATAAGGTTACATTAAATGCTGATGTAGATGAATCATCAGGCTGCAGCAGTTTGCAGCAACTGTGCAATAAATCAACTTTTGTGGAACCATTTAGACTTCTCTCTGGAGACGTTATCATAACACACACAACCCCAATGGACGCATACACAAACAGATGCATGTACACACTCATGCCGGCATGCAAACATACATCCCTCTGCCGTACACTGTGCTGAAGGAGACACTTAAGAAGTTCTTCTACCACTCACTGAGCTCTGCAGAGGAAATGTTGACCCTACACACGTATCATCTGTCTGTAGATCTGTTTTGATACACAGGGGCACCTTAAGTGACTTATTAGCAGGAGAGTTTACACGTAGCACTAAAGACCGTTAACCATTAGAGTTAATCATCCGTCTTGCTGGCTCTCAGGCTTTCTGTGCACTTTGGAAGGTAAACAGTGGAGCCAGTGGTTGCTTTTTGGTATGCATGGTGGTTTAAAATGGCTTTTTCTTACATAATGCTATGGTAATGTTACACTTGTTGTTTATTTTATGTTGCCCAGATCATCTTCAGCGAACTTTAGAAATGTAGCTAACAAATAAATGCCAATAAGGCGCAAATGACTTAGTCTGGACAAACCGCACTTCTGTCAGAAATTGGTGATGTATGCTACCCTTCATGCATGACTGTAAAATGCCAGTAAACAAAGTATAATCATTTGAGTTAGGAAAAACTGGACAGAGGTGTTTTAGGATTTGTTACTTTTAGGGCAATATTTGATCATCTTTATGCAAGCTTTTCATTGGCCATCTTCATAATTGAACAAAGATAATGTTATGCATTGGTTCTAATCCATGAGCAATGGCAGCAGACAACAAAACAGGTGATCAGTTATGGCAGTTTAATGTTTGCTACGTCGGAAAACACCAACATCTTGCATAAAAAGGTTTTGTGTCATACAGAAAGTAGTATTTATTAGCCATTCAAGATCTGCAAAAAAAAAGTATATATTCATGGAAACAAACCTATTATCTCCTGTTAATTAGGATTTTGTAACCTTTTAGTTGTTGAAAGGAATTCCTGAGTGACCAGAATCAGATTAAGACTGTTGATTAATGCCTAGAATAGGTGCAATGTCGGCATCTTAGATGAGGTATTGATTGAAAATACCACATCCTAGACAGCAAATTAACTTGAACTTAACTCTATAGGGAAAGGTAAACAACTCAAGGAGAACACGTTTAAGGGGTTCTTTGAGACCACAAAATATGATTTAAAAACGATTTAAAAAAAGGAGTGTGTACATTATGTCATTACACATAATCTCTGTTTACACACATATTAGTTTTTTATGTAATTTCTAATTGGTGGTTTTATTTTAGGAAAAGTATCTTTAAAAGACAGCTTGTGGTTGCAGTATTTATTTCCAAGAGGCAAAAGATACCACAACATTATCTTCATTTTTTGAGTCATCAAACGGTCACATGGACGTCTAACATAGAATATAAATAAAGAAGCACACACGCTAAACCCAAACCAGGCTATATGATGTACCTGCAAATGGTCTTCTTGACAGAAACCAGACATTATGTAAGACATGTTTTTCTACTTGTGAAACCAAGGTGCCAGCTGTTACATAATGAAGATTGCAGCAGCCGTGGAAAGTATGAAATAATGGTGCTTTCAATGTTTGCCTTAGAGGACATCAACAAAGCAGAGATGCTGCAGAATAGCAAGTAATGGGCTAACCAATCTTCTGAAATGTGTTATTTTTGTGGGATTTTAAGAAGGAGGATTATTGTTGTTGGAAAATAACCAAGCATCAGCCATCCAGGGGAAAGATGGTGGGCACAAATGGCATCATTATTAGAAGAAAAAAGGTAGCTACATGAGAGCAAGCAGCATTACAACAGTTTTTTTCTTCTTTCGTCTATTTGGATATTTTAAGCCATGTTTTTTGTATTCCTGTTTTTTGGAGAAGTCAACGTTTTTTCGTGTAATGTCACAAAAAAGAAAGATCCTTAATAATACTAGACAAAAAACAAACAGTTACAATTTCGCCAGTCACATCAAACGATGGACAGAATACATGCAATGTGTGTCTGAATTGCGGTACATGTAATCTGGTAGAAATTAAGCAGTTCAAATCCAATAGTTACTCTGTATTTGAGTATCTCACTTTTTTTGCAACAGGTACAGTTGCCCTAAGCTGGCAATTACAGAGAATTTAATATTAAAAGCGTGTGTATGTGAGGGAGAGAAGTAATTAGTATTGAGAGTAAGAAAGTGTAAACTTACAGCTGTTGTTCAGGACTCTGTCCAGACCCTCACGCCACTGAGCAGCCTCATCAGGAGTCGGCCTGCACACAAAATACACCAGTTCAGTCTTCAAAGTATACCAACAGTAAATGAAAATTATATAAAATATAACTTTACTGCTGCTATAAATGAGTCTTTATGACTATATTTGTAAAATACACATGTGTGTTCAGTGACGTGTCTTGCAAAATAGGTTCCTGCTGCTGCGACATGTAAGTCTGGTAAAACATCTTCTGAGAATAAATTGTGTGGTAAGCCTTTTGACATTTTCCCGAAACTCTGTACTATTTAAAGTTGTGGTTTTGAAACTGCATGAACATATCCAAGGAATCTGATACATTCTATTAGCCGGAAGGACCAACAACAAGCCAGTGAGTGATTTTAAAACCAATCAAATTCCTCTGTAAAAGGGCAGAACGATCATCCATAATTTAATAAACAGACGTTTTAATATGAGAAGGCTAGTTTATGGTCCAGTTTAGCATTGTGGGGTGTTACATGTAGAACCACTTTAATCAAAATCAGAGAGAGATAAGAAACTGTTGGGTGACAGAAAATGCGTTTACAAGGTCATCATTCAAAGCGCTAATAATAGAGGAGGATTGCAGATTATCAATATGAGTGGCAGTGACAGGAGAGATATGAAGAGAGCTGTATGACTCTAAAGGGAACCAACAAGAGTAAACAGATCAAATCAGCTAAAGTCTCACTGACTTTGTGGACTACCTTTTGGTTACAAAAGGCTAAAATAATCAGTTTATCCAACTTTAATAAAATGTTCGAGATTAGTTTTCTTACCCTTACAAGATTGCTAACAAGAAACAAAAGTAAAGTAGTTGAACATCTTGCACATAAATCATCTCAGACCCAATATTTTCAAGGTGATGCAGAATCAAATGAAAGCATCTAAATCTGTGTACCATGTAACACCTGAGCTGTGACAGTGTCTGGAGAGCGTTACAGTCCTTTGATCTCTACATATTGTCCCTGCTCAGGGCTCTACTGGGACACGTAGCCTCTCATCTATCTTGTTAACAATCCAACATGCTTTCTCCACCTCCTAACACATTCATCTCAGAGAGATGGGGGAAAAAACTCACTTCTGCTGCTTCTCCGGCTTTTTCTCAGTCTTCTCAGGGTAGGGGATGATGAGGTCAATGGCATTTTCAGGCTTTTGCAGTAAAATGCCCAATTTTGACTTGATCTCCTTCGCCCTGGAGGACAAAAAGCAGACGGCTTGTGTGACAAAGTCTTTGTTGTGACTTATTGGACACGAAAGCAATAATAATCCAGTCAAAATGTTTATCCAAGCCTAGCATCCTCTCTCCAACATGACTGGTGTATTGTATTTATACAAGACTAGAAATGTTAAAGCATGTGTTTTGTTTGTTGGTCTATTAATGAACTGTTGTAACTGTTGAACTGTTGTTATTCTAATGTCTGTTGCCTGTTTCAATTCAATACTTCTTTTGTTGGACTTTTTATTTACAAAGAGGCCCTATGTTTTGAAGAAAAAGGCTTTAATAGTAAAACTGTATAAAAAAATAGAAATATTGTTACGATAATAACACATTTTTACTTTGAATTAGCATTTTTTTGTATCTAGTTAGACATTTGTCAGTTGCATTATGGTATTTTTTTAAGTTAGAAAGTTACCTTAAACATTATCGTTAAGGTACAAATGTCTCACTACTTGAATTTAAATCAAGGACAAAATCTAAACTCATTTTTTCTTTAATAATTTTTAGGACGAAAATGTTTTTTAACCAGTATAAACTTAGTTGAAAAATTGTTTTTCTACTTATACTTACTACTTATGTTAAGAAACCTTTCCGTCCTCACCCTTGGAGTGTGTAGGCAACACAACACATTTAACTGCCCTAAGTAAACTGAATAAATTCATGTCAAAAGGTATTTTCCACAAGGATGTAAAGAGAAATCACTTTCTGAAAGAAAAAAGTTCAAGAACATGAACTTTACGTAACCTTTAAGTTCTGTTAGATGTTAACTCTTGACCTGAGACTGACGGCAACTTAGATTTACAATTTATGTGATCTATTTTAATACACTATGATCAGAACCACATACAACGTTTTAAATACTTTATAGTCAAACTTTCTATTGGATATTAAACAAATCAGAAGAAAACACTTAATTTGGAAGAAAAAAGGAAGAGTGTTGAAGCAGCTCTCACCTCTCCAGGCAGGTTTGGGGCAAGGCAGCTAATCCTCTACACATTTTCCGGCGCTCTCAGTTGCAGTATTTAAGTAAATTCGATCTTCTTGTTAGCTCCTGTTAGTCTCAGATTGTCGTTTGCTGTCTGAGTCTGGCTTTCAGCTCATGGGGAGTTTTATATACTCTTTGGGCTTAGGGCCAACAGCTCAGCCAATCAGGCTGGAATGTGTTCAGCTGAGGAGCCGGGCTGAGGAAGGGCGGGATCTCAGACGGAAAGGCTCTGTTTGCCTTCATGTTTCAATTGACAAACAGATCCTGGACCAGTGGGCAGGAGGCTGCAGGACTGTTTGGCATCAATATAAACTAAAGGTATTAAATACTTTGTTGCTATTTACCACTTTGTGAATCACATTTTGTGAGATTATGTTATGTTTCATATGTAAATTATTAGATTTAGCCATTTAATTCAGAGCTTACATTTAATTATTTCATGTTAATGTAGCTCTTTTTTTTTTACGACCAACCCTAACCCTAACCTTTACCCGATGGTCTACCATTTTACTAATCTCTGTTTAATTTATTTAGTTTAAAACATATACATTGCATCTACACAGACTCAATGATCATACGCAAATGGTAATCAAACTTTGCAATCAAAATTCAGGTCACGTGTTATGGAAATGCTATCTTGTCTCTAGGTCATAACTCTCTTAAGCACACATCCAGTCATCAAACACTGGAGAAAATACATTTTCACATAAAACAAACAAACATAGATATTGCTGCTCTAAAAGTTACTGATAAAAGGTATTTCTGATTCAGGCACAACATGTCAAATACGACTTCAGTAAGGTTAAATCGAGGTCAATAATGGTCTTTTTACCAGCAGGAATGTTTTAGACATACTCGGGAACTATTCAAACTGCAAAACAGCTTATCAAAACTTTTATTTTTGGGGGTATTTTATAGTCTTTATAATAGATTTTGACAGTAGGGACATGACAGGAAATAGAGGAAAAGCATCAGAGGTCCCTGGGCGGATTTTAACCAGAAACCTTGTGGTTAACCAATTGCCCCCATCCAACATGTCTGTCTCATTTCCAGTTCGTCATTTTGTTATGGCCCTCTGTGTCTCATACTGACCCAAAAGAATGCCTCAATTATAGTGACGTTTATCAAATTAAAAGTGATGCCAAAGGGTCCTGACTAAGCATCTGTACGTGACGAGTTTTGAATGAGAAATGGTTGATCAGACCAAAGCTAATCTGGCGGAAATCAAGGTATTCACAGGGTAATATAAAGCTTATTCAGAGTGTTATTCTACTCATACATTATAAATCAGACCATTCAAACTGACCTTTAATCCAGAAGGTTTTGTGGAGGTTTACAAGGCCCTTGCATATCTACGTTTCTTGAGCACAATTAATATATTATGCAATATTGCTTAAGAACATTTTTTAAATAGGTTTTTGCAAACATTTGAACCCATGACCACTGCTGTATCAATGTGAGCACTAAGATAACTAAAAGGTTGTTTGGATGTGAACACGCTCTACAGTTATTGTTCTGTCTAGAAGCATTGTGGAGAAACAATATTTATGTATTTAAATATTCTGCTTTATTATGGACCGAGCTGCAGACTGGACTGTTTTTTGTCCTTGACAGGTTTTGTATGCTTCATAATTGCAGCCTGGTAAATACCAGGTTTTACTGTTACTGTCAAATAAATCCATATATCTGGAGGAGGCAGCTTTTCAGAGAGACAACTGCTAATATTAAGCCTTATATTGAGTCCGAGGTAAACACAAATCCCGGTCTGCTGATGACAAACACATCACATTCAACCAAGCTTTGCGATGAAAAAGGAAGTTTGTAACATTTTAATTCAGAATGTTATTATTTATTTACATATTAATTAACTAGACTTCCAAGGCCAAACAGTGGTGAGGCAGGTCTACTGGGAAGGCTCAGTATAAACCCTGAAGTGAAACAGAAAGACAAGGGCATATTTTGCGTTATTGTGAGCTGGATGCTCTCATTTATGCAATACCTAATACTAACAAAAGGTAAAGGGTTCACAGCTAAGCTCACCAACTCTTAACAATATTGTATATTGAATTTCACATACCAAAACACTAATACCGAAGCACTCATGCTTAATGTTATGTTGACTCTGGTTTGCTTGTTTTACTTGATTAACTGTCAAGTAAAATGGGTGCACTCATTACTTTTCATTAGGAATGCTAAGGTTTTATGTAGGGCCAATTGCTTGGCAGTATTGGCCATTTCTCACTTTTATCTTTGTTATGCTTTGTTGCATGACATTTCCTCCAAGTTACTATGATCCCAAGCAGAAGTTAATAAAAAGCCATTTTGATGCACCACAGTTTGAAATCTAGTGAGCTTGGTATAAACAGTGTTTTTTAATTTTGTGACAGAATGCAAAAAGCAGCAACAATTTTATTTATTGATAAAGAGAATATGGATGGATGCTACTTAAAATAATCTTTATTATCATTATAACAAGGAAATGTTCTCAATGGAAAAATCAGCCAGGTCCCAAACTTGAAGCAAGTGTTGTGATTTCATCTTACCACACTCTTCATTTGTGACTTTAATACTAACTTAAGTAATGAGTAACTTGAGATAACTTCTTTCATTTGGGTAATTAATAAATCTATAGTGTGCAAATTGAGTACAGAACATTGAAAGTAAACAAACCTCAACCCCCAAAAGAAGCGCTGCATGAGATAAAATCAAGATACTGTACGTGAGCCATGATGGGAAAAAGGAAAATTGTAATTTCACACAGTTAAATTCTACAAACAATCCGAAAAATAGTCTATGTGCCAGTGTAATGTGTTCAGAAAACACAGTTTGTAGTACCTTGTTATTAACGCCCTTCTTGCAGCCAGATAATAGAGGTCTGGCGTTTACGTAAGTGCAGCACTTATCAAAATTGACTGACAAATCAAGCTGTTCCGGTATGGGTGTTTCTATTCTAGGACTAATAACAAAGTCTGGTACAGAGCTGTTTGGTTAAAATAAAAAATAAACAATAACTTAAATTAAAGCGGAGTCTTTATAAACTTGTAAAAGATCTCCTGCAGTTTTATTCTCCACCAATGATATGGCACTTTTGACTACACAGGCTTGTTCTCAAAGTGTAGCCTTAAATAACTGATGCAACCTGGATGATTGAAATACTTTTTTACCTTAGTTAACATATTTTTCATACTTTATAAGTAACAAATACATCATCTTATTTTAAGATATCTTTACATTGGTGTTTTTAGATTTTAATCCAGTAGCTGTGCGCAAATTTAAATCACTTAGCACGGTTTGGTTTAAGATATAAAGGTAAGGAGTCGGACATATCGTCTGGAGGCTTTAAACAATGCTTTGTTTTTGTTTATTTGTAACAGTATTGCAAGTTCTGCACACAAAGCTTCATAGGAGGTTTGCTTTCGTTGCAGAATTTCCCAGAAGGCAAAGTTCAGAAGTGGTCCTCTGAGTGGTTGTGTACTTAGGACAACTGCAATAGAAAGACTGTTCAAATAAACTGGCAGCAGTTGGCATCCAGGTGCTTTGTAGACCACGCTGACATGAGCTCTACGCTCAATTTACAATTCTATGGCCATAAAACACTGCTTTCCAAAAGGTTATGGTCATCAAATGGTACAATAAAGATATATATTGCATCAAAAATGTGTTGATTGGAAATGAGAAACATGTGATAGGCAATAAGCACTCATTTTGGAGAATTGTCAGTGGCTGTACCGATATAATCTTCCAACACAGTCTCACTCCCTGATAGTCCAATAGCGACGCTTGGTCAGGGTCCTTTGGCGTGCAGTTGTGACGCACCGAGTCTCCTTCAGCTTCATAAACGTACGCAAAGAGCTTTCAACTGATTGCAATGTATTCCCATCGGCGGCGGTATTTGACGCTCAGGGAAGCACCGCATCGGTCCATGTCGGCGTAAGTTAAAGGCAATGTGAGCGTCCATTCCCATTGGATAACGGAGAATTTTACACCCGGAAATAAGTATTCTTCTTACTGTCGATTGATTTTACAATGATATCTGCACTACTCATTAACTCAAACATACCAGATTATCCTTGTTAATTACACAACATTGATTGGTTTAAAATGTGTATAATAGTTTTGTGTTTTTACTAGTGGTGGGCCGTTATCGGCGTTAACGTGCTGCGTTAACGTGAGACTCTTGTCGGCGTTAAAAATAAATATCGCCGTTAATCTATTCTCAAAGTTGGGTTGGGAGCTGGGTCTATAGAGAGGCGAAGTCACGCCCATCTACTTCCGGTCCATGGGACCCCGGAAGCAAAAAATTATACATTGAATTTAATGGAGAGAGAAAACGTATCTTTTGATCCCGTTTGAATTGTGCCACGAACTACACATATGATGTTTGTCAATCTTAAACAATAATTTCCATGTCAAAAAAGTCACATTTTGTCGTAAAACTGTTGAAATATAAGACTATGAAAAATACGCGACTACAAAGACTACAAATCCCAAATCCCATTCTGGGTCGCGCATGTGATGTCACAGGCGATAATGCTCCAAGTGGTTGCGACTCGTAATTAAAGCGAAGAAGAAGATTTCATAACTGATTTATTCCCTCCAATAAATATAAGAGATTGTTCCAATAAATTCACTTTGACAAGATGCCTGTGTGCTTTGTACCATGTTGTAATCACAAAAGTGATCATACCACTTGCTCGTTCTATCGCTTCCCGTCTGAGGAAAGGACCACGAGTCGCTGGATCAGACATATCAGGTAATATCATAGGTAATATATATGTTGTGCATGGAACATAGTCAAGTTAGCTACCTAGCTAGTAGCGACGAGTAGCGAGCACGTTAGTTAGCATTACATTACTTAGCCTTGTCATTTTTAGTAGCCTTACCATGAAGTTATTATTTTATTACATGAAGTACACCAAAATGTTAAACAGTAAGAGTGCTGTCGAATGGACCAAAGGAAAAACAATCCTGCGCAGTACGTGGAGAGTTATACTCGTTTTATATTATTTATCACAGAAAAGACAGCAAGGAAGAGCGCAAATGGTGGGTTCCCGGCTTAGATCGACTGTCATTTCATTCTCACTCATCTTTTATATTTTATCACC